GCAGAACAGTAGGATGTTAAACCCCATTTCATTTCATTTATTCCGATTTCCCAAGTGTCAGGGGATCTTTAATATTCTGCCAAAGAGAAGAGAGAGAAAAATGTGGTTTACACCCACCTGACACAGACTAGACCATTATTGGACTAACATATGGTTCAATTTTATTTCAATTTATTTGTGCGTAAGGGTTTTTAGCAGTGAGAGGAAACCAAAGGACCCGGAGAAAACTCATGAGGTTGGACAGGCAAAACTATTCCATGTCACGTACAAGTGGGTATCAAAACCAGGCCACTTGATTCTATAGCAGACCTTATGATCTAACACACACACGTTAAACCACTAAACCACCCTACCATACTTCCGAACGACTTGACACATTTCTTGTAACTTGTAAGGCCCTACCAAAGAAAAGAAAGAGAGAGGAAAATTGGGTTCAACAAGGTCATGATGGGACTAACATATGGTTCAATTTTATTTCAATAATTCGCCTGCAATAATGTAGCTGTGGGAGAGAACTTGGAGAAAACCCACGAGGCTGGACAGGCCACCCGGGCAATTGAAAATGAAAAACCTTAGGATTAAACGCACACACGCTAACCATTTGGCCATTCACCCCCCCCCCCCTCCCCGGAGAAAAAGAAATAAGGTTGCTAAATCCTGAGTAAGTTTCTCGGCCAACACTGGGATCGAAGACGGAACCTCCTGTTTAGTGAACCTGCGCCACTCACCAAACCACCCAAAACCAAAAAATAAAACTCTACAAGTTATAAGCAAAACTCTTGAGATTTATTGTCGGCTTATCATTTAAAAGCAATTCAAAATTTAAAAAAAAAAAGAAAAAAGAAAAAGAAGATTGCCGCTAAAAAAATTGTTACAAGATGAAAGCACCCAATTTATATAGGCCTACCTGTTTTTATTTAGATTAATTCCTAGAATAACATGATCTTAAAATGTTTACAAATAAAAACAACAACAGTAGTCTCCCCTCAAATAAAATATATAGATACATATATATATAGCTGTAATATAAAACTAACTACTATATTTAAATAAATGAACACTGGCTATTTCTATGAAATAAAACAAATCAATTTTATGTAATGTTAAATGGTGGGGGGAATTCTTGAAAATTTCCTGATTTCTGTAAAACAAGATATGAATGCCACTAGGGAGAGAGAGAGAGAGAGATATGGGGTTAAACTCAACTGGACACAAACTAGGTCATTTTGAAATTAACATATAGTTCAATTTTATTTCTATAATTCGCTTGCATGTAAGGGTCTTTAGCTGTGGGAGAAAACCAATGAGGTTTGACAGCCGCCCCACTCATTGTCATGTACAAGTAGGGAATCAAAACGCCACTTGACTCAATGATAGACCTCATGGTTTCATGCGCACACGTAAAACCACTAGCCCACCCAACTCCCCTAATGTCACTAGGAATCTTTAACCCTGATTTCGTCGGTAAATGCTAAATACACCCAATCGGAGAATCAAACCCAAAATTGATTGAATTGACAGGTGCCATCAATATGTGACTTATTTGAGATGTTAATCATAGTAGAAATTTCCACAAAAGATCTTATTTCTGCTCCGTCAGTCCATTCTATGAAAAAGAAACCCTCCCCAAAAACCAAAGGATCAAAGTAGAATCGTATCATGAGGTTATGACGGGTAAATTGACCAATCGGTACAGAGGCATTTCGATCAATTTTTAACTCCGTCAGTCATGACCGGCATATATAGCCAAGATGGAACCCATGAACTGGAGCCCAGTCAGAGTGTAATTCGGCACTCGCTATAGCATATACTTTTCTAAAGGAGAACTATGTTGGTTAAAAGATTTGTCGGTCTGATAATTGCATGACTTGTAATATATCACGGACAAGGTTCGCCATTTAAGTTCCTGATCATAATTTGAGGAATCCATTGCACACAACAATATTTTGAAAGTTGTATCTCTAAACGGCATGTATTCATTATTTTTAATTTTCACGTTTTAGCGTCACACGGGGAAAAACTAAGAATTGTAATTATTACATTGACTTTGATGGGTCTTATGTAGTGTACGTAGGCCTTGGATGCATGTACATGTAGGCCTATAATAGAGAGAGAGAGAGAGAAATGGGGTTTAACGTCCACTCGACACAAACTAGGTCATTTCGGGACTAACATATGGTTTAATTTTATTTCAATAATTCGCTTGCGCGTAGGGGTCTTTAGCAGTGGGAGGAAACCGGAAGGCCTATAATAAGCATAAGTTATATACCGGTATGTCATGTTAATGTTGCAATGTGAAAAGCCTATAAACACTGATATTAAAATGTGAACTGATGAACTGATATGTGAAAGAATAATGGAGGTGATATGTGAAAGGTATGATTTGTATATCACAGGTATTTACAACAAACAAACAAACATTTAAAAACATGGGGAGTATTAAAAATATTCTATATACAAATTAAATACATTTTATATTATAACATAGTCTTTTTATACAAGAAAACTACATGAGATTAAAGGGACAATAACACTCTTGCTGGCTTGAAAGCTCCAGAAAATAAATAATATCTCTATCTAAGTACTAGATGTTTAAGTGTCCTACCTGTTGTGTAAATTATCCATTACATCCTATTTTACTTGTCCAGAGGGTTCGAAAATATTTTTAAATTGAAGTTTCATTTGAAAAGGTTTACGTTAGACGTTTCAAACCATTATGTTGAATTTTTCAAAATTTTTAAATAAGGTGTGTTAAGATGAAATTTGTATCATCAATTAATTGAAATATTCTAAAATAGTACAATTTGTTGACCAGAATAAAGATTGGGACATATTATTCAGTTACAACAAGAGTGGTATTGAGCTTTTAATACGGGACAGTCGACAAAATTATAACACTTGCGTCCAAACGAATAATCCATGTATACAATAGATCTCGAAACACCCATTAACCTCCCCCTTCGCGTCTACAGAGTAAGAAAATGATGACACAGTCGCAAAATTTAAACACTTGCATCTAAACGAATAATCCATTTATTACTCTCAAAACAATCACCCACCTGCCCCTCCGCGCCAAAAGAACAGATTAAGAAAATGTCAACATATTTTCGTTCATGATTCAGCATTTAATTTATCATTTTGTCGTTCAACATTCTGCAGATTATTCGTTTGGACGCAAGTGTTGAAAGGTTGAGAACGTCCCTAAAGACTCAAAAATATGGTGCTCAGAATGGCCTAGAATATTTGGACTTTCTCCTTTTAGCTAACTGACAATTTCCTTTACAGATTCTCAAATATATCTGTTATTTTACCCAGAATTAGAAATTTGTATAACTGACCATTGGAACTGAATTTATTTCTCTGTGGCAAAAATAAAATTCATATTGGTGTGAGCTTAATTTAATGAGAATATTTGTAGGAATTGCAATCTGATTAAAATACAGATCTATATTTCGTTTCATTTTTTTATACTTTCGATAGCCTCTACGACATGAAGATCAGACCAGTTGTAGTGTGAGGTTGCATCAGGGGTCATACAAGCTACTTTTGACCCTATGAGGTCAAACATTTGATTAAACAATCAGCTTTGATGTTTCTAGTGGGTTACCCACAGTTCCGTGCACCTCACACCAAAAACTAACCATAACAGATCCTTTCATTGGCTAATCTCTCACTTCATCAAGAATGTGGGTTGTATAACAACTCTTCCAGATCCTTGTGTAGTAAAGACAAGTAAAACGAAATTTTGAACTAAAAAACAAAACGAAAAAGGATCTGTGTTTAAATCAGATGGTAGGAATTGTGACCAAATGGTTATGCGTCAAGTTCTTGTGTATTACAGTAAGATACTTCATCCGTGTATTCCAGTCGACTCAATTGTAAATGGGTACCAGTAGGACAGGCTTCATTGGGGACTCGTTCTAAACTATAAATATCAGAAGCAAAAGGAGGTAATCAAGCTTTACCTGTATTCTAGAGACCAGGGTCCGGTTCCTAGAAAATTCTAAAAGTAAGCACAAAGTCATGCTTCACTTTTTCTTACGTAAGAAACTTATAAAAATACAGTCCCTAGAAAATTCTCAAGACCATTCTTACGAAAGCACAAGTCAAGTATAAGTCTAAGCACATTGTGACTGGTAAAGTTTACCATAAACTGAGACTATGATGCTCTATAACGTCAGACACAGTTCCGGGTTTTTTTTTTACTTATATTATGTACAAAATAGTGCCAAATCTTTCGTCAGATACAAACTCCAATTTTGTTCTTTTATTTTATGTTTTTTTTAGTTACATATTTTCCCTTCTGTGAAATACATGTAGACATAAGGCATATAAAATAATTTTAAAAAATTTGTTTATCCCATTTTGCAAACAAATTTTTAAGATACTGTTATACTGAGAAGCAATGAAAATGCACAACGCCAGTTGACTCAATGACACACCTTATGATACAACACACACACGCTAACCATTCGGCCATCCAACCACCTGTGTTTGAGAGAACACGTGCTAACAAGATTAACAATTCTCCATTTATAAAAGTGCTGTGTTTTGATTGCGTTTCAGTACATTTTTAGGGTTAGCAAGCTTCAATTTACATGCAATGAATGCCCCCTCAAAAAAAAAGTATTTCACTAAAAATTAAAAGTACTGATTTAACACACAAATTCTATAATCTGACTAAACTAAAACACAGATCTTGTTTCGTTTTATTATGGTTCAAAATTTCATTTTACTTGTCTTTACTACACTGGGATCTGGAAGAATTGTTACATGTTAGGGATTAGCCAATGAAATGGCCTGTTAGGCAAGTTTTTGGCATGGGGTGCACAGAACTGTGGGTAAACCACTAGAAACATCAACGCTGATTGGTTAATCAAATGTCTGATGTCATAGGGTCAAAAGCTGCTTGCATGATCTCTGATGCAACCTTCAAGTACAACCAATCAGATCTTCATGTAGTAGAGGCCACCAAAAGTAAATAAAAAAAAAACGGAACAAAATATATAGATAGAACTCAATGACCATTGAATACCGCTCGGGTTATTCAATGGTTCAAGAGAGTGTATCCCTGCGCAAGTATTCCACGAGCGATAGCGAGCGGTATTCAATGGTCATTGCGTTCTGTTTTTATTTACACGCAAATCTTAAAATACACTGTACTATCTAGATTATCATAAAAAATCATCACCACTAACTTTAAAATTCATCATAGGTTCCGCCCTTTTTTCTTTCTTTTTTAGAAAAATTGTGGTTGCCTAGTTGTGACGTCATTACAGTTTGACGTAGTTCTGTAAGTGACGTCATTATGGACAAAAGTAGTACGTTTTCAAGCCATTGAATACAACTATAGGTTATTCAATGGCCATTGAATACAACTATAGGTTATTCAATGGCTGTATTCAATGGCCGTATTCAATGATATTTGCTTGTATTTGCATGTAGTTATAGAATAAAGACCTGTATTTTAATCAGATTGATTTATAAATTATTTTTCACTTGGGTTTTTGACACATATATGTAATTAAACCTAACGATGATTTTGCGAACACTTTGGATCAAAAGTTTGAATGCTTTTTAACATCAGGTTAAGAACACATCACAGAATAGAAGGGTTAAAGACAATAAAAAAAAAAGTTGCAAATAAATAACTAATTGTTTTCGGCGGTTTCATTTAGGTTTTGACACATTTTAGACCTAATGATCATTTTACGAACACTAAGGGTCGAAATCCTGAATGCTTTTTGGCTTCAGGGTTAAACTTAACATCCTAGAATAGATGTTGGTTGATTTAGTTAATAAATTATTTTTTACGAATAAATAACTTAAAAAGCTCATTTCGAATAAATAACAGAAACTTTCATAATCCATCTATGTTGAACGGGTGCTCAATATTCGTCTGGGTTTAAAACAAGAATAAAATTTACATAACGCAACATTGTTGGTGTACCCATTTACATAATGTAATGTTGTTGTTGTCGTACCCATTTACATAATGTAATGTTGTTGTTGTTGTTGTACACAATTACATAATGTAACGTTGTTGTTGTACACATTTACATAATGTAACGTTGTTGTTGTACACAATTACATAATGTAACGTTGTTGTTGTACACGCATGAATTATTACACGAAACAAAGACAAGAGTCTACAAAAACAATTCTTGCTAATGCTAGGTTCCCACTATCATGATTCACGCTACGATTGAAATCGTGGTTTTAATCATGGAGTAATCGTGGTGATCCTATCAAGTCTAATCATATATTGAGGTCATTCGTAGTAATCGTGTTGATCATATCAAAACGTATCCGAACGTATCTGCAGGTACCAGATCGTGGACTCAATAGGGACAATCCTATCGACTTTTGTAATGCATCGCATGACAGTGGGATCCTAGCGTAAAGGAACATAAACAATAACAAGAATCTACACCGATATTTTACATTGTGTTATAAAAAGGATTGGCACCAAGTCTTGCTAATGGATGGCTAGCACCGTGCTGAACTCGTCTCACCGATCGCGACTCTCCACTCGCTGTAAAGTTCACATTACGAGAAGTAAAAGTAGGAGCTGTGTCGCTCACAGATTTTGTCCGTAAGGCCTGTCGAAGGGCCACATCTGAAGAGTTTGGTCGCGTTCTTTGCGTAAAACCGGGATCAACAGGAACCAGTTTGTTCCTCATTTGAACATATTCCGGAGATAAATGACTATCTTCTTCAGATTCGTCGATAACTTCATCTAATAAAGTATGTCGTTCAACAATCTCCGGCTGCTTCACAGGGTCAGGTTTCTGTAAAGGAGTCGATTTGTTATCCTCGGAGACTTGGCTAGTATCTTTCGGAGCCTCGAAGCGATACAGTAGATGCTTAACAACAGAATGATCGTGGTCTTGCGGCGTACATCTGGTGCTGCTGTGGCCTGTTTCTGTTATAGGAGTTACAGGACTTGTAACTGAAGTGTGCATGTCATGGGCAGTTTCACTATTTAGATCTAGATTAAGTATAGATCGATCCGTTAGTTCCGTCACAGAACTGGATTCTATCGTAAATTTTGATTTTTGTGGAGATCCTGTTTTTGCTGAAGAGGTTTGAACTGTTTCATTTGAACACGTTGTTGATTTCTGCTGATTTTTATATTTTTTACCGTCACTGTCAATTATCACAATCTTTTTCTCATGTTTTTTCTCTGGTTTTGTTTTCCGTTCGAAATCTCGCACCACGTTAAAAACAGCACTTGAGGTGTCGTTAGTGTCCATCTCGTCTTCCGAAGTTCTATGGCTCAGCATGGAGCCCATGTCGTGAATGTAATTCATCACTTCTTCGTTGTACGGACATTTTTCCTTTTTTAATCGGATTGGATGATGAGCAACACTTACATGAGATTCACAAATTTTTGCATCGTTTGTGACCTTTTGACCCACATTGTCTTTTTGCTGCGTAACTGGAATGTGTGAAGTAGTACTTGCAGTAACGGATGTGATATCTTTACACTCGGTACTACCTATATCAGATTCATTACTGTCTGATGTTACCATGGTTTCAAATTCTACAATACAAAAAGAAATGAAATAAAATGGGATTTAACATCCTACTGCTCTGCTTCTATACAGCGTGCTATGAGGGAAATTTTGCCCGGGCAGCAGCACTATGGCCTACTCTTATATCGAATTCAAACTGCCAAGGGATCTTAAACGTGCACGGCAATTTATACACGGGGCCTCGGTTTCTTGCCCATCCGAACGACTCGACAGCCGTCGTTGTCGGGCCCTCTGTCCTGCATCACTAATATTACCTGGGCAACGACACTATGGCTTATACTCTTATATCGAATTCCAACTGCCAAGGGATCTTAAACGTGCACGCCAATGTATACACGGGGCCTCGGTTTCTTGCCCATCTGAACGACTTGACAGCTCTGTCTTGCACCACTAATTTTGCCCGGGGCAGCGACACTATGGCTTATACTCTTATATCGAATTCCAACTGCCAAGGGATCTTTTACGTGCATGCCAAAGTATACTAGGGACAGTTTACAAAGCATTCTTAGACTTACATGGAAGTTAACTCAGGGCCAGGTTAGCTCTGACATAATACATGTTTTAGGGGGGGAGGCTATCCGAAATTTTTTATTCTGGAATGTTAAAGCTATTGAATTGAAAATAGTACAAGTAGTTAGGAAATGTAATAAACAAGGGAAAACTAGCATTAAAAAAAAGTTGTTGCCACGGTAACACATTTTTTGAGAAAAAATTATGAAAAACAAAGGTACACTATCACTGTAAAACTGGTAGCGTTTATAATGGGGGTTATAGCGCTAAAAACTAGGTATATAGTTTGATTTCAAAACATCGTTTGATAATTGATAATAATCGTTTGAAAATTACAAAAATAGTTTAATTAGTACTATGGCTTAATTTAATGGTACACCGTTTAATTTCTCCGAGAGGGGTTTAGAAATGGCCAACCGTTCACTTATCTAGTGCATTTATTTATTAGACAAGTAGTTCAATTTCCCAAGATGCGCATAGAAATAAGACCTGCTTAATTTTTCTACAGTGTTGAATTATTAGATGAATCGTTTATTTTCCCGCGAGCCGTCTATCCGATCGGTTCATTTTGATTACAATTATTTGCATATGAAGTGTGAATAATAATGGTGAATATTAAAAAAAGGCACCTTGCCGTGGTCCTAGTATTATTATCCATTATCATTGTCCATTCAAAATAGTAATTCCGCCATTGACAAATATATCAAAAAATCGGTAAATCACGTCCCAGGTATATACATTTGGAAATCAGTATATCACATCCCAGGTAATGTATCTTCTTTAAATCACAAATGAATTAATTAAGTTTTCCACCTGTACACGTTTACAGAATATAATTCTAATATCTAACACAGAATCAGACAGAAAGCAACTTGAATTATTATTAATATTTCAAAAGTTATCAAAATATTTCTCCAAAGACAAAATATTGTGGTGAAGCAAATGTTTTAAACACCATTTTCCAAGAAACTATAAAAATTATAGAGAAAAACTCTCTGTCTGGTTTTGGGGTTATCATTAAAGAATATGCAGTCCGAAATGAGACATTTATCTTTATTAGTGCCAGAGATATGGTGTACCTACATTTTTCATACTTTTTCCCCCCAAAAAATGTTACCCTGGCAACAACATTTTTTTCTTTGTTTTTAATGTTAGTTTTCCCTTGTTTATTACATTTCCTAACTACTTGTGCCATCTTCAATTCACTAGCTTTAGAATTTCAGAAAGCATTTTTTGGGTAGCCTCACCCCTTAAGCTGTGTAATTATTATTAACAATGTATGTTTTTATCTACCTTTTTTGTGTTTTTGAACGATGCCACTCTTTAACGGAACAACTTCACTTCCATATTTATACACTTTTATATCTTCCACATCTGCATCTGTAGATTCATCTGTTGTCACGCCGGTGATGACAACTTCAGGCGTATCGCATTCTGGACTAGAAACAGGTTTAGTACCTTCTAATATCACAAGGGGTCGGGGAGTAGGGCACGTGTCAGAATTATCATCATAATCAGCAGAAGGCAGCGATTGTCCGGACGGAATTGATGGTGATACTATCGGAGAACAAGTTTTCCTTCTCTCTGCTCTCTTTGCCTTTGCTTTTTCAGTGGCCTCTTTTAAACTTGATGATCTTTGAATCGGTTTGACAAATTCTTCGAGATCAGGAGGAATAGATCTGAAAGCAGGAAATATGAGAATGTCAATAACTCTATAATCGTTGAGTGACATTTAGAGATTGAGTACAATAAAAAAAACACAACACAATTTATATGGAAAACAATCACTGGTTTATACACATACATTTGTATAGCACAACGTTTTGACAAGTATTCTCTTATAGTTATCAAGTAAAATTATACAACACCTTAAAAATGATAAAAGAATACTTGTCAGAATGTTGTGCTACACATGCAATAAAGAAATGAATGACAGGGTTTAGCTTTGGCGATTGGATTGTTAAAACGGTAAAAACCAGGAATACTTAAAGGTAAAAAAAAATAAAAAATAAAAAAAAATAATCCAAACTCTTAAGTGTGCATATAACTAAAGTTTCGTGTAGCACCTGTCTTTATAGCCAATAAAATGAAATGGGTTTTAATGTCATACTGTTCTGCTACGAATGGGCTAATGAGAGAGAGAAAGGGGGATTAACGTCCACTCCACACAAACTGGGGGGTTGGATGGCTGAATGGTTAGCACGTGCGCGCTATATCATAAGTTTCCCCCCATTGCTAAAGACCCCTACGCGCAAGCGAATTATTGAAATAAAATTAAACCATGTTAGTCCCAAAATGACCTAGTTTCTCTCTCTCTCTCTCTCTCAACCCCATTTTTTCTCTTTCTCTCTCTCTCTCTCTCTCTCTCTCTAAACGTAACCGAACATCTGCAAGCTGCAAGTACCAGATCGTGGACTCAATAGAGACAATCCTATCATGACTCATCTCACGACAGTAGGAAACATTAATAACAATATTCAGGTGTAATTAAAGTTTCTTACCTGGCTTTACTCTCTATTTCTAACATGGTCTTTCTGACAATACCCTCGGGTAGTGGTATCTGTTCAATCTCATACAAAGACACAGGGCATTGACGTTTCGACGGTCGTTCAGTCTCGCTATCCATAGACATCAACTCTGAACAACTGTGTGAACACTTCATTCCTAGAGTCCCCCTCTCGTTAACTTTGGCATGAAGTTCGGTTAATTCGACACTGGGTGATATAGAAAGTTCTTCCTTAACCATTTTAGTTTTAGGATTATTCATCGGGTCATTGTCGAATGCGTTATCAGTTGAGGGTGAAGCCATCAGACTGTCCTTTAAATTTGTGTTAACGAGACCCGCTCGGATTTGTTGAACTTTTCCTGAATTCCAAGGTATAGCCTCTTTCATATAATAATCTTTAATTCCAGTATCGTACATTGTCGAGGCTTTTGTCGAAGGCATGTCCATGTTCATTTCTTCGTTGGTCAGAAGCTGATTTTCTAGACCTGTTTCCAGGTTTTTGGAGTTGGTGTTAAGATCTGGCGGTGGGAGATAGTTGAAATCAGAGGCAATAATAAGATTAGGGGCCACAGCAGATTGGTCAACGGACGGAGAATTTTCACCGTCTGAAAGATTGGATTTAATCCACGAAAAGTCATCCTTAAAAGCACTTGGTCCTGAAGGCACGGAGGAACTCATCAGTAGAGTTGATCTTGATTCCCGACCGAGTATATTGATGCCTTCGTCGTCCTCACTGTATTCTGACGAAGTATCATAAGGCAAGTCGGCACCAGCTACCTCTCCACTGACGAGGTTTGAATGTCGTATATTGAAGTGATAACTCCCCGTTTTGGTGACGTTCTCGTTTAAGGGAGTAGGAGAGTGCATGTCTGGTAGGGACTCTTCCATAGAATCGGCACTTCGTGATCCTGTTTCTAGATCTGGTTCGATAGGAATACTGACACCTGTAAAAGATAATTCTTAAATAATTAGAATATGGTACCTATCACAGATATTGTCAGGCAAAATTTCAGACTTTTGTCACGCGGGGGTTGGATGGGCGAATGGTTAATGCATGTTCGTTGGACCAGAAGGTCAGTCATTGAATCAAGTGGTGTGGTTTCAATTCCCCGCTTGTACATGACAAGGAATAGGGTTGCCTGTCCAACCTCATGGGTTTTCTCCGGGTCCGTTTCCTCCCACTGCGCGTAGGGGTCTTTAGCAGTGGGAGGAAACCGGAGGACCCGGAGAAAACCCACGAGGTTGGACAGGTGACCCTACTCCTTGTCACATACAACCGGGGATTCGAAACCACGCCAGTCGAGTCAATGATAGACCTTATGATAAAGCGCGTGCACGCTAACCATTCAGCCATCCAAGCCCCCGAGTTGAGTATAGGCTTGTCATGTTAATAAATATCTAAATAATAATTTATGTAACATTTGAAGTCAAAATAAAACCCCACAATAGGCAAATTTAGCTCTTACATTAATGCATCTTTAACTTGGTTTGGTGTGGAGCAATGAACTTACCTATGGGAAACTGTGCTATATATTCAGACTCTTGTAACGATATATTGGGCTTACGTAGGGGTAGTTCAGAGGGCTCAATCCCCACATAAGCCCCGTTCTCTAAAAAATCCTGTTCATCTTCGGTGTCCTCGGATTGACTTCTTGATTGATTAGCTCTCATTGACATATGATGAAATATTTGTCTTTGGTTACTGTAATACACAACACAATTTTTATTTCACACATTTTATCATTATTCATCTACATTAAAGTTACACTATGGGAGATAAGATAAAGAGATGGCAGTTTTCGCTATAATAGTTAAAAACTAGATAGTGTAAAGGTAATTTGCTGAAAATTTCAGTCAAATTGATCCACTATGAGCGGAGAAAGAAGCGGGTGAAATTTTTGCATAGTCTTGGTCATCATTACTGAAATCATTAATATAAACAGCATAGTCTCGATTATCCACTTTTATTGATTTAATTATCAATAGCCGTTAGCGGCATATAGGAATCTAATCCAGCCAACATCGAAGGCTAGCCTTGACATCGAGAGTTTATTATGGTCTGGATAAGTTAATTAATGTCTAATTGATAATTTAGATAACATTTCAGGCCTAAAGAAAGACTTGTAATAAGCAGATTTTTCTCTTGCATAATGCATGTTTAAAGTTACAATTTCATATTTTCTAAGACAGTCAAAACATAATTAGTTCTATGTCTTTTGCTCAATAGGTTGTCAACTCACTATTATACGATCATAGGTTATCTTTCTCACACTTAAAAATCTTCACACCGGAAATAATAACACAATTACCTCCTAATTACCTCCCTTGTTTCTTATTCCCCACCATGGTATAGCTATCTTCAAACGTTTGAATTTGAAGTTGAAAATGATATTTTTGCCAATTTCTCAACTGGCAATAGTGAATTATAGGATTAATAGGATTATTCTTTAACGAGGTAGGACTGTTTATAGATACCATCTATTTTAGGGCTTTATTTTAATACATTTTAAAAATATAACTTAAAAATATGAAATTGTAACTTTAAGAATCTTGTTGTGGATCATATATATATTTCCTAGTTTGGGTGGTTACAACGTTGGCTCGCTAGCCTGGAGGTCGCGTGTGCAAGCTCAAACTACATTTGTGTAAGTCGGTGTGTAACTTGTAAAAGTACAATAAACACGTGTTGACATCTGTGGTCCACGCTAAAAATGGATATATCAATATTGGTCTTTCATAGTCCTTCAAGCACAAATTATGGCATTGTATGCAAATTTCTATGAATTGTATTCATTTTATATAAAGTCGCACAGTTGTTCGCCCCCTAATGTTATGTTATTTTTACAAAACAAACCCAAAAGATGTTATCTCTCCTTCATACTTACCTAGCTTTTAAAATTCCCTCATATGTCTTTAGTTGTTCCCTAAATCCTTCGTTAGGATTAACACAATTTCTTCTTTCTTGAACGTATTTATACGCCTCCTCGAACGACCATTTATTATCTTTCATCAAAAACGCCATCGTCTGATATAGAAAGAGAAAGAGAGAAATGGGATTTTACTTCCACTTAACACAAATTAGGTCGTTTCGGGACTAACATATGGTTCAATTTTATTTCAATAATTTACTTGCATGTATTGTCTTTAACAGTGGGATAGGCGACCCTACAACCGGGGAGTAAAAAAACGCCACTTGACTCAATGACAGACCTTGTGATTCAATAATTCGCTTGCACGTGGGGGTCTTAAGCAATGGGAGGAAACTGGAGGAACCAGAGAAAACCCACGAGGTTGGACAGGCAATCCTACTCTTTGTCATGTACAAGCGGGGAATCGAAACAATTTTATTCCAGTAATTCTGTTGTGCGTAAGAATCTAGAAGAGTTGAAGTAGTACTTACTGTAGCCGAAGACCGACTTATACCCATTTTACAATGAATCAAAACTTTAGAATTTTCTTTCCTGAAACGATACAAGACACAAATTTTAGCTAAAACAAAAAAAACCTGAACAGGGATTAACCAATCGTAGCAATCTAGTGAGCCAGCAAAAAAATACAAGTTTCTGGGTAAATTATTTAGACATTTATTCACATGATCAACACATAATCAACTCTTTAGATTATCAGATGGCTTGGATATTAAGAAGATTAGACAATCTACGCCATATCTGAAACTCTGTGTTATATATTCTGGTAATGTATGACATCACTCATAGACTGCCGATAAAGGCCTGACAGTCGAGACTTTGTTTTTATCATGGCAAAAGTGCTTGACAATTGAGAAAATGAACATTAGGAAGAATTTTCGTAAGTTAAAGATACATTATGGGAGATTCGGTAACGAGTTGGCAGTGCTCGCTATAATAGTTAAAAACTAGATAATGTAAAGGCAATTTGGTGAAAATTTCATTCAAATTGATCCACTATGAACCGAGAACTAAGCGACTGAAATTCCCATAAGCCTCGGTCATCATTACTAAAGTCAGTAAGATAAACAGCATAGTCTCGATTATCCATTTAATCGTTTAATTGAGAAGGAAAGATATGCAGTAAATCGACTTACAATCCACTAAAGATCGCAGGCTAGCGCTGCCATCCAGAGTTGATTATGGCCTGGATAGGTTAATTAATGTCTAATTAATAATTTGAATAACATTTCAGGCCTAAAGAAAGACCTGAAATAGGCAGATTTAGCTCTTGCATAATGTATGTTTAAGGATGGGCAATCTTTTTGAGACAATTTATGGTTATTTCCTGCAAAAACTTCAAACATTCATAACTTTGTTCAGAATAGAGAGAAATGGGGTTTAATGTCCCCTCGACGCAAAATAGGTCATTTCGGACGAATATATGGTTCAATTTTATTTCAATAATTCACTTGTATGTTGGGGGTTTTAGCAGTGGGAGGAAACTGTTGAACCCGAAAAGTTACGTACAAGGAGCGGTCATTTTGTCCGGAAGTTTCGGTCAGATGTTTACGAAATCCGAACTCAACTGACAATATGGTATAACTGTGATATATTTGAACGTTTTTTTAAACGGATAATAATTGTGAACTCTAGAGGGACCACAAGCTAAAAACACGATTTTTCATACAATCAGGGGCCATAATTCAGGAAGTTACAATCTGAACTGCGCGAATATCAAAAGGAACCAAGATCTTTGGGTTATAAAAATGAAAATTGTGACCTCTGGAGTGCAATCAGAGGCCATAATCCATGAAGTTATGGTCCGATACATGTCGATATGTTATATTTCAAGTTTCGTCAAAATAGGATAAAAATTGTGACCTGTAGAGTGTTCACAAACAAATTGTAGACAAATGGACGGGGTGACGACATAAGAAGTCCACATGAAAATGTAGGCTTATACAAAGCCAATAACTGTATATCTTACCTGGCTTTATCTATAAAATCGTAAGTTTTATCCCAGTGTCTTAATAAATCTGATTCAGGTACATCAGGTAGTCGAATATTTTTATATTTAAACATTCCTTGAAAAAAATTATCTATCTCTAACGTCACATTTAATATAAAACCAATTCTGAAATAAAACAAAACTTTTGTATAAAACCTTTTTTTAAAACCCATTGACTTAACTAAAATATAAAATTAGCCATTATGCATGTCAGACAAGAACTGTCATTAATCAGCCTTCTGTAAGTATTTCTCGTCCAATCAACATGTGTGTAAGTAATTCTCTTTCAATTTCATCCAATCAAACTGTCTGTAATATTTCTCTTATAATCTCATCCAATCAAAATGTAAGTATTTCTATTCATGTGCCCATTGCTATTCTAATAATAAAATTGGGCCAATGTCATTGTGTCCAATGTACATATTATGTTATGTGCAATAACCTGGTGATCGATGCCCATGTAATGACGTGAAACGGTCATCACAAAAATGATAAAAAGGGGCCATGTCATCACCTCTAATGTACAGATTATGTCTATGCGGAATGAACTGCTGACCAGTGGCCAGGTAATGACTTGAAAAGGTCAGTAAAAAAATGATAAAAAGACAATTACCCTATTTCTTGAAGTTCAGCAGCATTTGCAGCATTCCATTCGGATCCTAAATACACAAGATCTGTTATCTTGGAGGCACCATCCATTTGACCAAGAATTCTCATAACTTCAGCATCAAAAAATTCTTTATAAGGCTTGAGATCCATTTCAAGTTTGGCAGCAGTTGCATTTCTTAACTGAAAGTTAAAGGTAGGGCATAAATTGAATCTTTCTAAACTATATTATTTTGTATCTATCTACAGCACAACATGCTGCCAAATGATATAAACATCTTTATTTTATGATCAGTAGTGGAATACCACGTTCTATAAGTGAAATAAAAGTGTTATTCCACTGGCTAGCAGTAGTCCATGTTGTTTTTACCTAAAAGGATTGTAAAATCATAAAACAAATAGAACATTTGTCGTTTTGTCGTGAATAACATATTTTATTTCATCTCTAAGCAAGAAAACGGTTATATTTTCATTCATGCTACGCATTCGTGAAAATATAAAATATGTTATTCACGATAAAACGACAAATATCCTCTATTTCTTCTTGCCAGACCGTCCATCCTGCACCATTGACAAGGGGGAAACCCATGCTGGAAAATCCAGAAGATCTTTCTGGGCCAACACCGGAAATGAATGCTGGACCTTTTGGTTAGCGAGCCAGCACCATAGTCAAGAGATATTTACTTACCGATACACAGGTAGCCTCGTCTAAATCAACGGACATCATTATCTGACATAACGTCTTTGTTATATTCTTTTTAATATTACAGATCTCCTCACTGAAATATACATAAATATAATACTTAAATATACAGGCAGTTTATTCAAGAAGCGTCTTAAAATAGATGGTATCTATAAACCTACCTTGTTAAAAAATAATCCTATTAATCCTATAATTCACTATTGCCAGTTGAGAGATTGGCAAAATTATCATTTTCCTCTTCAAATTCAAACGTTTGAAAATAGCTACTCCATGGTGAAGAGTAGAAAACAAAGGAGGTAATTGGGAGGTAATTGTGTTATTATTTCCGGTGTAAATGAGTTTTAAGTGTGAGAATGACACCTATGATCGTATAATAGTGAGTTGACAACCTATTGAGCAAAAGACATAGAAATAATTATGTTTTGACTTTCTTAGAAAATATGAAATTGTAACTTTAAGTCTATGAACAAAGGTACAGGATATTCAAGCCTTTAAACAGGCATTATGCAAGAGCTAAATCTGCCTATTGTAGGTCTTTTTTTAGGCCTGAAATGTTTAACTATTAATTAGACATTAATTAACTTATCCAAACCATAATCAACTCGCGATGCCATCGCTAGCCAGCGATATTTACTGGATTTGAATCCAATCTGCTGCTCAACGTTCATTGATGATTAAATCCAAAAATGGATAATTGAGACTATGTTTTTTTATTGTACCGACTTTAGTGATGATGATCGAGGCTAGGCCTAAAATTCAATAGCTAATATCTCGATTCAGAGTGGAGCAATTTGACTGAAATTCTAAACATATTCCCTTTTCATTATCTAGTTTTAAACTAGTTGGACACAGATCACTAAAGATTTCCCATTGACTCCAATGTTAATTCTCGTATCTTAGACCGGCTCTAACTTTTTCCCAAATTTTCGTTGGGTAGAACGCTTTCTACCACAGATGGAGCAACATGTGGCAACCACTTGCCCAAAAGCACGTATGAGGTTCTTCATGAAAAACTTGAGATACACAAGCTGGAAGTAGAGACAAGTAAACATGCAATTTCAGGCCCTACATTTCTACGTAACCAACCTCTCAACTCTTGTATCCTTCCGCATCAAAATTATGAATATTCACCAAAACCTGGCAGAAAATGTATTTTCAAACCCTTTTCCTCAATTCTACACCAAAAAGTCAACAAAAATCGCCATGCAAAAGGGGGAAAAAGGAAAAGGGAGAGGAAGACTAAAAATAGCTTTGGCCCTTGTTTCGTGGGTGACGGCGTAGGAATATTTGGTGATCTGTGTCCTATATAGGGGTGAAACTTCAGGGATCACCAAAAGGCCTTTTTTATTTCCTTCCCATGTGTTCTGGCAACATGCCGGTGAAAGAAAATCAAAATCAAAGAATAACTGTAAAAATGATGGCCCTTTAAGTACACATGCTGCTTTATGTACACTGGTGCATCTCAGGTCCATAGGCCTTTTGTGCTAAAATTTAAAAATCTTTCTTATTAAAGGCAGTATCTGAGTTCTGTGAAAAAATTAGACAAGTAACAAAGAAACTACATACAAAACACTCATAATTTGGAATTTTTTTCAAAAATATAATTTTTTACTGCCATGTGATGAAAAATGTACAAAATTTACATGTAGCATCTCTCAAAATACCAATAATTTTCCACTTTTTTAAATATCCGGACGGACAAGAAATATATTTTTAGAATCTGTGGACAATATGCAAACAGAAAAAATGCAAACCAGTTGCAATGATTGTAATATTAGAGATCTATACTGAAACATGTATGCCTACCCCCTGAACATGCCACTGATTGAATTAATCTAATCTATGGTTGCAGAACTTACATTACCAAAGGAATCTGTCTAACAGCTATGTTTTACCATCCCTGGCTAACATATGCACATATAAACTAAAATAGGTGCAATAAATATGAATTATGGTTAAAAATAGGCCTTGATGAATGAAAAAAATGCCATATTTGGTCTATGATCACCCCTCTCTAACAGAAGGGTCACAGAATACACAATTTTCACAAATTTGGGAATATTTCAATGTTTCCAACATCTCAAACCTCAGAGGCATGTTACAAATTTGTATTGCAATCCTTGTGCTGAAGCAAGATGTCTGGAACTTTACATTAATTTCCTGAAAAAATGAAGTCAAAAAAGTAGTCATGACAGACTTGACAACATAAAAAGAGGCCTGAAAAGGAGAAAAATTAACATTTTATTGTTTTATAGGCAACATAAATGCAGCAAACACCACAAATGCTGGATTTTGATAAGAAAATATTGAACATTAAACTGACATTTACACATCTACACCAGTTTTATATCTGGGTCTGGTCTCATTGGCCTGAAATGCCTCAGGGTTCTACGTTTGACTCTGAACAAATAAGGGTTAGAAATCCTTGAAATGCACAAAAAAAATATTTTTGGGTGAAAAATAACATTCTTAGCTGTAATTCAACCACAAATTCCAATTAAGATCATTTACATGTCAACACAGGTGCATTTAAATCCCTCAAAACACATTAATAGAAAAGGGTGGGGTGGGGCATTTATTGCCTCTCTAAACAGAATGATGGAGTAAAAAATGTCTAGAAAGGCTGGGATATTGCTTCCTACATGAAGGAAATGCAAGAATTTAATGTTTCAAAGAAGAAAAAAATGCTTATTCTGGGTAAAATAGTGGCAAAATTGAGCCAACCCCTGTTTTGAACATTTTGTACAAACCCATCTGCTGTACATTATTAACTCAGTGTTACCAATTTTCAATTTTCTGTAGGAAAGCTGGAGCTATTTCTAAACCTGACAAACATGTAGATCCCATCTTAGTTATATTAGCAAAGAAAATATGGGCATTTTTAGACATTTTGACTCATTTTAGTAGTCATGAAAATATTAATTTCTACATCCAAATGGGGGGAATCTCAAGATTTTTTGTGAATATTCCTGATTTTTAGACAAAATTTGGTGAAATTTCAATACTGTTCATTTTATCTGTGCTTTCTGAGACTGAATAAGCCAACATTGGGCATTAGAATATTTTACTTACTGTTAAAAATTCAATAAAAATTGAAAATTGAGAAATTTGCAGTAAAATCACAATTTTTCTTCAAAACTTTGATTTTTTTTTTTTAATTAACTTTTTTTAGTTTTTCTGTAGCCAAACTATTTTATTCATATTTTCTGAGAATTTAATCTTCATATTTTCAAAACTAAGGCATATCAGTGACAGCCTTATCACACACAGACAGGACACAGATCACTAAAGATTTCCCATTGACTCCAATGTTAATTCTCGTATCTTAGACCGGCTCTAACTTTTTCCCAAATTTTCGTTGGGTAGAACGCTTTCTACCACAGATGGAGCAACATGTGGCAACCACTTGCCCAAAAGCACGTATGAGGTTCTTCATGAAAAACTTGAGATACACAAGCTGGAAGTAGAGACAAGTAAACATGCAATTTCAGGCCCTACATTTCTACGTAACCAACCTCTCAACTCTTGTATCCTTCCGCATCAAAATTATGAATATTCACCAAAACCTGGCAGAAAATGTATTTTCAAACCCTTTTCCTCAATTCTACACCAAAAAGTCAACAAAAATCGCCATGCAAAAGGGGGAAAAAGGAAAAGGGAGAGGAAGACTAAAAATAGCTTTGGCCCTTGTTTCGTGGGTGACGGCGTAGGAATATTTGGTGATCTGTGTCCAGTTTAGTGAGAACTGTCAACTCTTTATCTTAAGTCCCATAATGCCCCTTTAATATAAGAAAACTTTGCAACAGTATACACGTGTAAGCTGATACCGTTGACTAATGAAGCTAGGCCTTTTAGTAATGATAATTCTTGTCATTAAATCATATAAGTGGTCAGTAATGATAATTTTTGTCATTAAATCATATAAGTGGTCAGTATTCTAAACTAATCTTTAGTATGTATAGAAAGTGGTTAGAAATTATACAATTGTCATTAATTAGCAAGTGTGTAACTAGCTGTAAAAAATGTGACTATATAGAACACCCATCACTATTGAATACACAAACCTAACCAATAGTGGTGTATATCATTCAATAGTCACAGTTTTAACACCTAAGTGACAAAACACCTACTTAATGACTACTGCCTGATTACTAACAATTTTAACTAACTAATACACATTATGTATATAAACTGATAACTTTGATCTATTAGTGTCATATATTTTCATTTATAACAGTTATTTGGTGCTTAGTCAACGATATCAACGTTACAGTGATAACCTGCAGATCATTTACCGATATCATATGACATCCATTGAGGAATGTTATAGCAAACTGGTTTGAGATAAATGTATACCGTACCCCGAGTTCTCTAGTAGGAAATGCGACTTCCCACCATTAAGGAATGCTGTTCCTGATGGGTAAACTTGGGTTTACGATAAATACGAGAGGTTGCAGATGCAACATACTTTTACACAGGGGGATTACCAATATACAACACAACTTTTAGAGCAAAATGAAATGGGGTTTAACGTTCTATAGTGCTGCACCGACTGGGCTAATGAAGACAGGCATATTTTTCCGGCACAACGGCCTACTCTTATATCAAATTCAAACTGTAAAGGGTTCATGTACAATGTACATGCACACCAATTTTTGCACGGGGCCTCGGTTTTCGATGCCATCTGACTGACTGACTAGGGGGAACCACGCCAGGAATTCCTGATGAACTTTCTCAGTCAACACAATGATCGAACAAGGCACCTTCAGCTTAGCGAGCCAACGTCTTACTCACAGAGTCAGTGTGGTTCCAATTTCCAGGCAGGTTATATAAAAATGTTAAATATCGCTACTTACTTATCATCAACATAGGATGGAACTAGAGCTGAAATATCCACCAGAACACCTTCCATTGTATGCCTGAAGTAAACAAAACATGAAATGAAAAGTCGTGACATCATTTTAGTCCGTCTGCTCATAGAAATATAGACTAGAATATGAGCGGAAGGACTAAAATTGTTTATTGACTGTACGTTACGACTACCCATGGAGAATGGCGGAAATCCCTAATGTTGAAATTTACCTGTTGCAGGTAATATCGACATTCGAGTTTGTGTTATGGAAAGGATATGTTGACATAATTACTTGCATTAATTAAACAATTTATGAAGCTTTTCAGGTGACTTTTAACATCCTACGTTCTGCACCAACTGAGCTAATGAAGACAGGCATATGCCATAAAATGTGCTATGGGGGAAATTTTGGTTGTAGAGCTGCACTACGAACTACTCTAATATCGAATTCCAACCGTGGTTTTAATCATGGTGATCCTATCAGGTCTTATCATATATTGTGGTAGCAATCTTGTTGATTGTATTGAAATGTATCCAAACGTATTTACACGTACCAGATCGTGGACTCAATAGAGACAATCCTATCATAACACATTGCACGACAGTGGGAACCCAGTTTAGGCCATCTCACCACTGACGAAATCTATCCTGATGATTTAACAATCAAAAGCCCCAATCTAAGGCCAACTGACCACTGACTAAATCTATGTTGATGATTTGAAAAAAGGCCAACTCACCATTGACTAAATCTATCTTGATCTGATGTATCTATTTTTGATACGTAATACGAGATCCATGTATGTGATAAACCTTCCGTTGTATACATTCCTGTATCTGATATACTAACAGCTTTATTTAAACTCTGTAATGCTGACCTAAAAATAAAATAAATTCAAATGCGTGACCCAAACAAACAAAATGTTAGAATATAACATGCGTTGAAGTTTGAGTTTTAAGTGAAAACTATATTTTATTGAAATAAAAGAATTAAATATGTTTTATGTAGTCCTGTCTTGTAGTTTAATTATGGTCGGAAATCATTCTAATTTTATTTGTTTGGTTTTTTTTAACATAATATTATATTTTTAGCTGTATAGAATGAATGATTTGTGACACTTTAATAAATAAATTATTATTATTTTTATTGAATATCCTACTGCTCTGCACCACTGGGTAATAAAAATGGACAAACGCCATATAGTGTGCTATGACAGAATTTAGCAGCATTTCAGTCGACTCTTTGTCAAATTCCAACAGTAAAGGGTTCTTTTAAAGAAGGAAGAGGGACATAAATGGAGTTAACGTCCACTTGACACAAACTAGGTCATTTCGGGACTAACATATGGTTCAATTTTATTTCAATAATTCAATTGTGTGTAGGGGTCTCTAGCAGTGGGAGGAAACCGGAGAACCCGAAGAAAACCCACAAGATTGGAAGGCAACCGGGACTCGAAACAACGCCCACCCACCCCTTCTTTTAAAGGAGGCAAATTTTTTAAATCAGTCGTCCACAGTCTACGACATTGCAAACACGACTTATTGGTTAATTTCAATCAACATTGATGTTGTTATCTTATCGTGAAAAGATGTGCTTTTGATATCCAGTGAACATTTTAAAATTGGCACAAGAATCGTGTGCCAGAATGCCTTTGAGCGCCATTTTTAATGAAGTCATTTGTCAGATTTATCGCACAAAGTTATGTTAAAACATATACATGAAGGCTTGGATTTCGGTTTGAATACTGTTTCTTACTTACCACATAACTTGAACGGAAACAGGCTTAAACAGATAAACACCTTCATATGTTTGAACACTAAAACCACTGAAAATATATTAAACATATTTCTTTCATGATAACTGTTTCAAAACACTACATAAAACATATAGGGATCATTAGTAGTGAGAGGAAATCTGAGGAAACCAGGAGAAAACTCACGAGGTTGGACAGGCGACCCTACTCCTTGTCACGTACAAGCGGGGAATTGAAACTACGCAACCTGACTCAATGACAGACCTTAATTATGCAACGAGAATACATTAACCATTCGGTCGCCCACCCCCCCTTAAATTGTGATAAAAGCTTACCCATCTCCATCGAGTCTAATTTTGGTACCAGATAATATAGGTATAACCAATCCTATCGTGGCTGTATCTTTACAATCAATACCTAATATAACAAACTCTTCTCCATCTTCTCTACCTATCGTAGATACTAACGCTAAGTAACGATGATTCAACGACGCTACAGCATTCTCTAGTTTTACAGCCTGAAAATACACAAAACACAGTGAGTGAGAACTGAGCTGATACACAAAATACAGTGAGAATTTAATGCAGTTCTGTTTGGTCGATTGGTCAATCAATCAATCAATCAATCAATCAATCAATCAATCAATCAATCAATTGCATCTCAGCATGAATCGGCTATATTGTGACAAAGAAAATGAAATGAAACAGGTTTTAACGTCCTAATGTGCTGCTCCGACTCAGCTAATGAAGATGGGTTTACGCCATACAGTATGCTATGAAGGAAATATTGCCTGTGCAGTGGCACTATGGCGTACCCTTATATCGAATTCCAACTGCCAAGGGATCTTTTACGTGCACGCCACGGTCCCGTGTGTACATTGGCGTGCATGTAAAAGATCCCTTGGCAGTTGGAATTTGATATAAGAGTAGGCCATAATGCAGCTGCCCGGGCAAAATTTCCTTCATAGCACACTGTATGGCGTATGCCTGTCTTCCTTAGCGTACTATTGGAGCAGAACAGTAGGACGTTAAACTCCATTTTTAACAACCAGCGGATGCCAGACAGGATACGCCCATATTTGCAAGAGATGGATAGAGAACAATCTAAAAACAAACAGGATTTTTTGTACAATCAGGGGCAATAATCCAGAAATTTATGGTCTGAAATGCGCAAATATCAAAAGGGACTAAGATCTTTGGGATATAAAAATATGTTTTAAGTTTCAACAATTTGCATACAAAGAACGTCCATTTTGTCAGGCAGTTTCTTTTCGATTTTCACGAAATTCAAATTCAACCTTTATTATGGAGGAATGGTGATATATTTAAACGTTTTTTAAAATCGGAAAAAAAAAATTGTAAAAGTTAAAAATGCGATTTTTCAAACAATCAGGAGCCATAAACCAGGCAGTTACATTCGGATATGCGCAATTATCAAAACGAACCAAGATCTTAGTGTGTAATGGTGATATATTCATATGTTTTTTTTTTAAATCTGATAAAAATTGTGACCTCTACAGGAACCACAAGCTAAAAACGCGATTTTTTGTACAACCAGGGGCTATAATTCAGGAAGTTATGATCCGATATGCGCAAATATCAAAAGGAACCAAGATCTTTGGGTTATAAACATGTATTTCAAGTTTCATCGAAAATTGTGACTGCTAGCGGGTCCACAACCTGGATATACCAGATGTTATACACTATTTGCGTACGAGGGGCGGCCATTTTATCCGACAATTTTGGCCCGATTTTCACAAAATTCAATCTCAATAAACATTACGGTGTAACAGTGATATCTTCGAACGTTTTTTTTAAATTGGATAATAATTGTGACCTCTAGAAGGACCACAAGCTAAAAACATGATTTTTCATACAATCAGGGGCCATAATTCAGGAAGTTACCATCCGCTCATCATCATATGCCCGACCGAATATTGAAAGGATCCAAAATCTTTGGGTTATAAACATGCATTTCAAGTTTCATCAAAATCGGTTAAAAACATGATTTTTCTTTCAATCATGGGCCATAATCCATGAAGTTTCGATCCGATACATGCCAATATCGAAAGTAACCGAGATCTTTTGGAGATAAACCAGTATTTCAGATTCGTCAAAATCGGATAAGAATTGTGACCTGTAGAGTGTCCAAAAACAATGGTGGACAGACGGACGGACAGGGGCGACAACAATATACGTCCACATGAGAATGTGGGCGTATAAAAACGGATAACATACGAAGCTCATAGAAATCTATTTTAGTGTAAAAGAGGAGATAATTGACATGTGATAAAATGGATATTCTGTTGACTGTTGATATTAAATCTAGAAATAGATCAAGATGAAAATAGAAAGTTGTTTTATATCAATCTTTATTGCAGGCCAACAGATTATATTAACTCTATAGAAATACACAATCAATATAAATCAGAGAGTGAAAGAGAAATGGGGTTTAACGTCCACTCAACACAAACTAATTCATTTCTGGACTAACATATGGTTCAATTTTTTTTCAATAATTCGCTTGCAGTGGGAGGAAACTGGAGGACCCGTAGAAAACCCACGAGGTTGGACAGGCGACCCTACTCCTTGTCACAGTACAACCGGGGATTCGAAACCATAAATCCAAGAGAGAGATGGAGAGATAGAAAGACAGACAGACACACACAACAATTATCAATCTAAGTGAATGGATGGGGGGGGGGAGAGAGAGATGGAGAGATAGAAAGACAGACACACACAACAATTATCAATCTAAGTGAATGGATGGGGGGGGGGGAGAGAGAGAGATGGACAGATAGAAAGACAGACACACACAACAATTATCAATCTAAGTGAATGGATGGGGGGGGGGAGAGAGAGAGATGGAGAGATAGAAAGACAGACACACACAACAATTATCAATCTAAGTGAATGGATTGGGGGGGGGGGGGGAGAGAGAGATGGAGAGATAGAAAGACAGACACACACAACAATTATCAATCTAAGTGAATGGATGGGGGGGAGAGAGAGAGAGATGGAGAGATAGAAAGACAGACACACACAACAATTATCAATCTAAGTGAATGGATGGGGGGGGAGAGAGAGATGGAGAGATAGAAAGACAGACACACACAACAATTATCAATCTAAGTGAATGGATGGGGGGGAGAGAGAGAGAGATGGAGAGATAGAAAGACAGACACACACAACAATTATCAATCTAAGTGAATGGATGGGGGGGGGAGAGAGAGATGGAGAGATAGAAAGACAGACACACACAACAATTATCAATCTAAGTGAATGGATGGGGGGGGGGGAGAGAGAGAGATGGAGAGATAGAAAGACAGACACACACAACAATTATCAATCCAAGTGAATGGATCGGGGGGGGGGGGGGGGCAGCCGTAAGTGTCCACTGTGCTATGTATTCTTTTTTTTTTTTTTATTAACTCGGATTAACAAGGTATTAATTTCCAAAGAATATGAAATTTTTAACATTATCCCAGCATTTTCACATTTAAAAACTGTATATTTAACTGTTCTGCTCCGACTGGGCTAATGAAGATGGGCATACAATGTTCTTAAAGGGATTTACATGCCATTTAATCCTAATCACATGAAAGTAATATAGCCAAATAATCACATCAAATCTTATCAACTTCCTTTCAGGCATCAAACACATTTAATCTTTTCTGCAATTCTTTTTAAGGTGGAATCAACAAACAACTGTTGTAAAAAAATTAGTAGCTCTACTAGTTTTAACAACATAATTCATCAAAAGCTTGGTTACAATCAAATGTGGTTTAAAAGATAAGAAATGTAGGACAAGCATACATCATTCTGTGTGCTACATGGAGAGAGAGAGAGAGAGAGAGAGAGAGGGTTTAACCTCCACTCAACACAAAGTAGGTCATTCCAGGACTAACACATGGTTTAATTTCATTTCAATAATTTGCTAGCACGTAAGGGTCTTTAGCTGTAGAACCCAGAGAAAACCCACAAGGTTGGACAGGCGGCCCCTCTCCTTGTCACCCCTACATGTATAGGGAAAAATTTGCAGTACAGTTACAGATATATACACAGCTAAATTGTTTCCATGGCATTTAGTAATTGAGCTGGAACATAAGGGTCATAATTCGTTGGATTATAATTACTGAGCTACGTTACATTACATTACTTTAATTAAGTAAGGTTTCCTTCAAGGTAAATTAGAAGGGGTGACCAGCATTTACCAAGTATTGTTGTGTACATGTATATAAAGTCGCATTATATTTTATATTTTATCATTGCTTGATAATGACTAGAGAAACCTAATCGAAACATCCTCAGTAATTGTGTTCCATAGAATTGTGACCTAGCTGTCATATTTTTTCAAGACTTGGGTACCATATATTATAATGAAGATTTAATGTTTTATAATACTCACCATCTTCATTTTATCTTCGGGTCGTAGAAGATGCAACATGGCCTGAAGATGATGCTGCATATCTCCTGTAAAAATACAAATCATAAAAAACATGTCAGTTTTCTTTTAGCCATAGATAAATGTTGTAACTTTATTTATTTTTAAAGTTGTACTTATGTAAAGCACCAGAAAACAGCTCGCAGAGTTGAATTGTCAGTACTATATAAATTACTTTTATCTCAAAAACAAACTTTTTAATCAAATATACGACTGATTGAATACGGTGCTAGCTGTGTTTGTGTCAAGACTTTTACCATGTGTACTAAATAATGTTCTCCGTTTTTTGTTTATGTCTTTTTTTAATGGATTAATGTGTTGTGAGTGTTGTAATTTTATGTAAGTTGTACTTATTTAAAGCGCCTGAGAGCAGCTCGCTGAGTTGAATTGTCGGCGCTATATAAATCAATTATTATTATTATTATTATTTGTCACAGACTGAAATAATACCATTTGGATATCAAATTACATGTACAAACAAACCAATAAAGCCAATTTCTGAAGACATTATGTGTAACCATGGTAATTGCTTAAAATTCTCATTTTTAAAGAGAAATAAGTGGTAAATGTCAATCTCTATAACATTTATAATGAAGCAATGTCAAATATTATCTGGTAGTGGAATCTTTATATTGAAAATTCTAAAATAAATGGAAATGAAATGGGATTTTAACGTCATATTGTTCTGCTCCGACAGGGCTAATGAAGACGGGCATACGCCATACAGTGTTCTATCAGTGAAATTTTGCCTGGGCAGCAGCACTATGACCTACTCTTATATTGAATATAATTGATATTAAATGAATGTGAAAGAAATAAGTGCTAAATAAAAAAGATTAAATGATACCAGGGTTACAGTGTAAATTATGTAAGAGTTATCTGTTCTTGGTATAATAGTTTAAAAATAGAAAATGGAAATTACAGGTATGACTGTTTGAGAGAGAGAGAGAGAGAGAGAGAGAGAGAGAGAGAGAGATGAGGTTTAACGTCCACTGGACACAAACTAGGTCATTTTGGGACTAACATATGGTTCAATTTTTATTTCAATAATTTGCTTGTGCATAGGGGTCCTTAGCAGTGGGAGGAAACCGGAGGACCAGGAGAAAACCCACGAGGTTGGACAGGCGACCCTACTCCTTGTCACGTACACCCAGGGAATCGAAACCACGCCAGTTGACACTAATCCATTTAAATCTCGGCCATCCCATGATCTAGTGAGATGATCATAATCTTGTCATTAATTTATTTATTTAGGATTAAAATACTAGAAATAGCATAAACGACGAATATATTTATTTATTTACTGAAATACTAAAAACGACTAATTTCCAGCAACAAATTTTAATTTTAATCAGACTTCAATGAAACGATCTAAATTACGTGACCTACACAAGTCTGTTAATGTTTCTAACATTAAGGTTTTTCTTTAATCAGAAATTGCAATGTTTGAGGGAGTGAAGGAGAATTCTGGGTATGACTGTACGGCTAGTCTCTTTCCAGGAGACGATTGATTTCACAACACCTGAACGTTTACAAAATTGACGTATTGTATTGACAGATATTTTTTTTGTAACCTTTCAACTCATAATAAACAGACAGAACAGGGTCGCAGCAAAAGAGCAGGGTCGCAGAAAAAAAAAACAATCAGGTGTTTATTTATTCAGAGAACAAAATCTCTGCTTTCTAAAATATCTCCTGACGATGTTTTGACACATAGGATTACAATGTTTCTAATCGTCTGCCGATAATTCCCCCCGTCTGCACTTTTAATCTATCCTCCGACTTAAAACAACATTTTGAGGAATGACACCAAAGTTAGGGATGACACCGATTATTTAGAAAATCTTATGAAAGATTCCGTAACCAAAATTTTCTTCTTGAGTTGTGATTTAATACCAGGCTTGGACATATCCAGGCTTAAAATGCTGCAGAAGACACTTTGGAATAGTTATCCCAGTCGAATGTTGTCTTTGTTAAGATGCAAATATTTTGCAGACATGTCAAATTACATTCTTGTCCTGACTTTTGAGTTTCGATGATTTTTAAAATCTTGGCTTTTGTTCCAAGTTTTAGATGTTGATTTTGTTACGTGCACGTGAAATATCTTATTATCATATAAGGTATTTAAACTTAAGATGAAGATGTGATCCTAAATTGTTCAGAATTCTTATTTCTTTTGTTAAATTCTTTAAAAGGGAGAGGGAGATAGACATTGGGCTAACAAAAACTAGGTTTAATTTTATTTCAATAATTTGCTTGCTTTTTATGGGTCTTTAGCTGTGGGAGGAAACCGGAGGGCTTAGAGAAAACCCACGAGGCTGGACAAGTAACCCTACTCCTTGTCACGTACAATTTGGGAATCGAAACCAATGTCAATGACTCAATGCCAGACCTTATGATCTAACCATCAAATTCTTTAAGTTAAAAAAAACAAATTCATATAAAAAATTAAATGAAATGGGGTTTAACGTCCCACTGTTCTGCTCTGACTGGGGTAATGAAGACAGGCATACGCCATATAGTGTGCTATGAGGGAAATTTTGCCCGGGCAGTGGCACTATGGCCTACTCTTATATCGAATTCCAACTGCCAAGGGATCTTTTACGTGCACGCCAATGTATACACGGGACCTCGTTTTTCCGTCCCATCCGAATGACTAGACAGCTGTCCCTGTCAGGCCCTCCGTCCTGCACCACTGACAAGGGGAAACCCAAAATTTTATAAGTGAATGACTCACCTCCATGGTTCTTCTTCGAAGTTCTGCGACTACATTCATTTTGTGGTAGTATTAAAGCAGCCCCTTTAACTGTAAAGTAACTTTCACTCAAACTGTTGATACAAAACATAGAAACTCAAAATTATTCCTCTCAATATTATTTCATCGAAATTGGTGACAGGATTAAAAGTAGAATAACTCAGTGTGCTGACTACTACAATATTATTTGATCCAATATCTGTCATTGGGATTAAAAATAAGTGTTCCTTCAAAACATAATATACAGACTACAAAATTATTTGATCCAATATCTGCGATCCGGGTTAAAAATAAGTGTTCCTTCCATATATAATATACATAATACAATATTATTCGATCCAAAATAGTTATTAACTCGGACTAAGAACACATTGTAAGTATGCCGACTATTGCCGACCATATACAGACTACCAGTAAAACAAATTATTATCTGCAATGTAAATTTGTCTGCATTTGGGTGTATAGTTTAAAGTTTTAAATGTCTCTAACCTTTACGTGAACTTATAATACGATAATTAGATAGATAGAATTATAGGTCCTATAGCCACCTCACAATTCATGTACATATGGATAGATAGATAGATAATATATAGGTCACACTGTGTATATAAATCAAATAGGGTTTAAAAAGTCCTACTTTCTGCTCTAAACGGGCTAATAAAGATAGGCATACACCATATAGTGTGTTAAGAGAGAAATTTTGCCCAGACAGCGGCACTATGGCCTACTCTTAAATCGAATTCCAATTGCCAAGGGATTTTTTACATGCAGGCTAATGTATACACTGGACCTTGGTTTTTCATCCCATCCGAACGACTAGGGGTTTAACATCCTACTTTTCTGCACCAACTGGGTTAATAAAGATAGGCATGTGTGCTATATAGTGTGCTATAACAGAAATATTGCCCAGAGAGCAATTGCGTTCTTTTACATGCATGCCAAGCGTACACAGGACCTTCGTTTTCCAATCCATACAAATGACTAGACACAGTTCCTTGGTTCCTTGTCAGACCCACTGTCCTACACCACTGATATGGGGGAATCTATTCAGGATTATTTCATGAATTTTCTCGGCCAACGCCAGGTCTAACCCTGAACCTCTAGGATAGCAAGCAAGCACCTAAACCACCAAACCACAACAACAGCCCACAGTGTGTACGAACCAAGGATGTGTATATATAGTAGTTGATAGACTACATATTTCTATTAAATATCAGATGTACTTAGTCAGATGTACTTGTACAGAAATTATTCAAAGTTCAGCTTATTTTGGGACTTTTTTTCACCTATTTAATTATTTCACTTTGAAATATTACAAAACTAGTACTGGACATATTCTTAACTTAGTGTTGGACATGGCATTTATCAATATCATTAAATATAAATTTTATGCAGATCAGATGATAATTTTTGTTGTTAGAGAGTACACAAGGTTTAATAAAGTGAAACAAGGGCCATAACTCTAGACAAAATTAACGGAAATTTAATAGACGTCTTCGTTTCACTAATTTAATGACGCATATAACTTTCATACAGATCAGATGATAACTTTTGTCGTTAGAGCGTTCAAAAGGTTCAACAAAGTGACTGATGTAAACAACACACATGTATATCAATTTCAAAACAATCAAATGGTAAATGTAGTCTATAGAGTGTTCACAAGAAATTGTGGACGACGGATGAGTTACAGGCGGAAGTAGGGACAGGGGCGACGGCAATATACAACCACATTCCATGTGGACGTATAAAAACACCGCCAGACATAATGATAGGTACCAGCGGGATTGTGTATGATAGCACCTGAATTTGTTCCCGACATTGTCTGTGACAGGTGCCCTATTTCCAGACTTCAAATAAATCAATGAATATTCAATAGAATTAAATATACATGTATGTTAATATACTTTTAAAAACATATTATTTGACATTTTGGAAAACGAAAACAATTATAAAAGCTAATAATAATGTGTATTTGTATATGTATATAAGATAGATTTGAAAACATAAAATATAAAATGTATATATATAAGATATCCTTACGTACACATTATTAATTACATGTAGCTATTAATTCATAGGTGAGATGTTCATACAATATTAATTAGCTATTAATTCATAGGTAAAATATAACATACATGTATTAATTAGCTATTAATTCATAGGTGAGATGTTCATACAATATTAATTAGCTATTAATTCATAGGTAAAATATAACATACATGTATTAATTAGCTATTAATTTATAGTGATTAGGTATATCTAGATAAGCTGAATCAGACAAGATATTTAATATGGCTATAATTATATAGTAAACAGCCTAGATAAGCTAAATATAGGAGATGTATACTTAATACATATATGGCTATTAATTTTATAGTAATCAGCCTAGAAAAGCTAGATATACCGGTAGATACATTTATATGCTGAACAAGATAGCAAATATGACTATAATTTTATAACAATTAGCCTAGAACTAGAAAAGCTATAAAAATATATTTTATTTAATAAAAGTAGCTTTATTTTGTATGTAACTATTAGCTGAGAACTAGGAAAGCTATAAAATTATAATTTATTTATTTAATAAAAGAAGCTTTATTTTGTATCTAAAATTACAGGTGTCATACACATGTAGGGTATGCATTGCATTTCTAGAGCAACTGATACCACTTTTCTCCTGAAATTTATAATTTTGTCTAACTACAAGGTTTTACTGAGTTCAAGATTTCAACAGGTGTCATATACATGTAGGGTATTCTTTATCTTTCTAGAACACTTCATACCTCTTTTCATTCATTTGAGAGGTTCAAACACATGTAGCTGAAATTGTCTGGTTTCTTAATTTGTCTAACCACAAGGTTTTACTGAGTTCAAGATTTCAACAGGTGTCATGTACATGTAGGGTATGCTTTGTCTTTTCTAGAACACCCGATACCACTTCACACATATTTTGTTTTAAATTGTATAGTACTTTTTATTTTTATTATTTAGGCCAATGATATCATAAAAATTGTAAAAAATATTTGGCTTTCACACAAATAATTAAATATCCATTATAATATCGCATACATGTACATGTACTTAAAATTATCTGAGAGATCATACTATACATTTTCTACACAAACATCGACTTTCTTTGTCACAGTAAAATTCAACTACAAAAATTGGCTGAGAGTGAGAGATCATAGTCTACGGTCTAATAATAAAGACCAAATTTTATACGCCTACCATTATTATAGTGTAGAAGGTTAAATGACCCTGAAATATAAATCTTTCAAACACACACCTAAACAATTATATGATAAGTTTCATTCTGGATTGAATTTATGGCTCATTTTAATACCGTTAGAGAGAGAGAGAGAGAGAGAGAGAGAGAGAGAGGGGTTTAACATCTACTTGACACAAACTAGGTCATTTCGGGACTAACACTTGGTTCAATTTTATTTCAATAATATGCTTGCACGTAGGGGTCTTTAGCAGTTGGAGGAAACCAGAGGTCCCAGAGAAAACCCACGAGGTTCGACAGGCGATCCTACTCCTTGTCACTTACATGTACAACTGGGAATCGAAACCATGCCAGCTGACTCAATGACAGACCGTATGATACAGTGTGCATGTGCTAACCATTCAGCTATTCCCCCCCCCCCCCCTTGCATTAGGTAAGAGCTTACAGTTAAAAAATCATGAAAAATGAATTTTTAGTCAAATTACTATATTCTGGATGAAGTTACATATGACTGTTAGAAGCTTAGAATGTTTATTATTGTAGCAACGGTACTTGACAACCATGACTAAGTCGTGATTATCCATTTTATGGTTAAATTTTTAAATCTCGCAGGTGTTCAAAACTAATTAATTTTCGGTTTCATTTTTGGGGGTTTTGATAAATAAATATACACTTCAGTCATGTAAACAATATTTTGTTATTAAATTTCAAAACTTATACTAATTACAGGTCTAAAGATTAAAACATCAATAACCAGGTCATATTTATATATATCCTGTACTTTTTCCTCCCTCTCTCCCTCTTGTTTTTTCTCTCTCCCCTCCTCTCTTTTTTTTATTTCTCCCTTCCTCTCTTTTTTCTCTCCCCCTCCCTATTTTTTTTTCTCTCATGTTCGTTTTTCTTCCTCTCCTGTATTTTTGTCCCTCCCTCTCCTTTTTCTCTCCCTCCCTTCCACTCTTTTCTTCTCCCTCCACACCCCTCTTTTCTTCTCTTCTCTCTCTCTCGACACCTTTCTTCTCTCTCTCCACACCTCCTTTCTTCTCTCCCTCCACGCTTCTCTTTTCTTCTCTCTCTCTCCCTCCACTCTCTCCCTCTCCTCTCTCTCTCTCCCTCACTCTCTCTCTCCCTCTCTTTCTCTCTCCCTCCTACTGCTATCATTGGATAGATCTATACTCCTTATTACATGTCTAAAGTTTACAAGGTAAATAACCAGGTCATATTTACCTGAATATAAAATTAATAACTAACATTATCCTGTCAAAACCTTTAAAATCAAATATTATCCGATCTTATCCACTGACAGGGACAACACTTATTATCATCAAGATGAAAAACAAACATTTAAAATGTCACACATGACTACATTATCTCTAATTACTTGTCTCACATGATCTAATAATAGGTGAGAAGTTGGATGACAGGTAAATATATAGGTATGCCGAGTATTTAGACTGGCTCAAATTAGTCCCAAATGTTGTCCTAAAATCATTCATTCAAATCCTTGTTTTAGGCAAATCAACCAGGCTGGATTTATATACCAGTCAAAATAAATAGTTTTTTTAACTTTTAGTTTTTTTTTTAAAAAAAATAATCCAAAACATAAATTATTAGCCGAGTAGTTAAGTGAACTTCCCAACATAAGAAGTGGTATCAGGTGTTTAGAGAGTTTTAAGCATACCCTCCCTTGAGCATAACATGCGGAGGACCTGACAAGGACAGCTGTCTAGTCATTCAGATGGTACAAAAAAGTGAGGTCCTGTGTATACATTGCTGGGCACGTAAAAGATCCCTTGGCAGTTGGAATTTGATATAAGTATAGGCTATTGTGTAGCTGCCCGGGCAAAATTTCCC